CCTATTTGAGCCGGCGAACGCCACGGCATCGGCGGTGGCCAATCATCTCAAACGAAGGACCCTCCTGGAAAATAACCTTCAGACTTGGGTGTGGGCTTTTCTGGGTTATTGATTTTGATGATCTCAAGCCTCCCTTTGCAGCGCCAAATCGGCCAACTGCACGTCGCACTGCGTCTTTAGTCTCGTTCCAAACCAGCGACCGGGAGGTCGTGGCTCACGCGGGGATTTGTAACTTGAAGCTTTGGGCAACTCCCGTATGTTTGGGGCGGCTGCCATGAGTTGTGGGAGCAGTACAGCGAGTGGGTTCCCACTCGTGTGGAGTTTGCGTTCTCCACTCGCGCCTGGATTATTTTTTATTTTTCTTCTTTGGCACAAAAACGGCATTCTCTCTCTTGAGTAGGCTCCTCTTTCGACGGGCAGAGGCTGTCCCGGTTGGGGGAAGGATTTCAGCGGGCTTGAACGTTGATATATTCACAGATGCTGCTCAGCCTGCGCGGCTGAGCAGCATCTGGTAGCGCACATTTTGGGGGGTAGACGGTGGGGTGCCGGGCGGACGCGCACGGCGGACGTTTCACCTGGCCCAGCGTAACGAGTGACGTCGCGTATTTATTTAACCGTTTTCACCGATGCGCGCCCAACGTGGCCAGCGCGCGCCGTTTTTGGCCTCCTCCGTTTTGGTTTTTACCGGCAACCGGGTTTCGCGCACCGGTGCTCCGGCCGACGTGCAAGCGTCCCTCAAGTGCAGCCCAAACCCCCTGCCCCTCCGTCGTGATGCGTGTCGCACGGTGGCATCTTGTGGATTGTTTCCTCTCTAACCCCCCCTACTACCCCCCCCACTCCATTTTCTCTTTTAATAAACCGCACACGCGGTGCGCGACCCGATGGCCGTGGGTGCCGCGGTGTTTCCGTGCCATCGCCGAATCGCGGTTCACCGCCCCCCAATTTTACGGACGCGCTGCCCCCTCGCGAGCCGAGCGGCCGCCCGGCCGCGGCGGCCGCGGGGGCAGCCGCGCCGTCCGCTCGACTTCCGTCACGTCGGCGCGAGGTGGGGGGGGCAAGCGTTTGCGCGCGTTTTAATTTAAGCCCGGCTTGACGTTCACGCTTTTTAACTAGCTCGCTCTTCGGCTGTCCGAACCGAGACGGGTCACCGGTGCGGGACCCGGCCCCGCGGCCTCCGAGGCAGCCGCCCCCTGCTCGAGTTGAGGCGCGTGAGCGCTGCAGGCCGCGAACAGCGGGCCGCAACTTGGCTTTGTTTGCGTTCGGCTCGATGTTCCGCTCGTCGGAGGCCCACGTTGCCCACATCGGGCTCTGAAATGCGTCGCAGAGATGCGCTCCTGTGACCCAGCTATGCAGGCCCAGACCCAGAGCCCAACACCCACTCTGTAGCCCAGATCTAGAACTCATCACCCACTCTATAGCCCAGACATAGAACTCATCACCCACTCTGTAGCCCAGATCTAGAACTCATCACCCACTCTATAGCCCAGAACTAGAACTCATCACCCACTCTATAGCCCAGACCTAGAACTCATCACCCACTCTATAGCCCAGACATAGAACTCATCACCCACTCTATAGCCCAAATCTAGAACTCATCACCCACTCTGTAGCCCAGACATAGAACTCATCACCCACTCTATAGCCCAAATCTAGAACTCATCACCCACTCTATAGCCCAGAACTAGAACTCATCACCCACTCTGTAGCCCAGACATAGAACTCATCACCCACTCTATAGCCCTTAGAACTCATCACCCACTCTATAGCCCAGACATAGAACTCATCACCCGCTCTATAGCCCAGACATATAACTCATCACCCACTCTGTCGCCCAGACCTAGAACTCATCACCCACTCTGTAGCCCAGACATAGAACTCATCACCCACTCTATAGCCCAGACATAGAACTCATCACCCGCTCTATAGCCCAGATCTAGAACTCATCACCCGCTCTATAGCCCATAGAACTCATCACCCACTCTATAGCCCAGACATAGAACTCATCACCCACTCTATAGCCCAGACATAGAACTCATCACCCACTCTATAGCCCAGACATAGAACTCATCACCCGCTCTATAGCCCAGACATAGAACTCATCACCCACTCTGTCGCCCAGACCTAGAACTCATCACCCACTCTGTCGCCCAGACCTAGAACTCATCACCCACTCTGTAGCCCAGACATAGAACTCATCACCCACTCTATAGCCCAGACATAGAACTCATCACCCGCTCTATAGCCCAGATCTGGAACTCATCACCCGCTCTATAGCACAGACCGCCATTGCCACAGGGAGAGCTGGGAAACGTCAAAAGCAGTGAATGAACGATGGTGGTCTCATCTCCCCCGCACTCGGCAAGTGTGGGCATGGGTGGCGCTGTGGGCATGGGTGGCACTGTAAGCACTCGTGGCCTTGTGGGCATGGGCGGCGCTGTGGGCATGGGTGGCCTTGTGGGCATGGGTGGCGCTGTGAGCACTCGTGGCCTTGTGGGCATGGGCGGCGCTGTGGGCATGGGTGGCCTTGTGGGCATGGGTGGCGCTGTGGGCACTCGTGGCCTTGTGGGCATGGGTGGCGCTGTGGGCATGGGTGGCGCCGTGGGCATGGGTGGCGCTGTGCTGCAGCAGCTGTTTAATGGGTGGGAGCGATCGTGACACGCTCCGAATCTGGTGTGTTGTAACCGTTTTTTTGTTTTGCACTCTTGCTGCTGTTTGTTGCTTAAGACTTAATTTGGATTTTATCTGAGAAAGTAAATGCTGTAAAATCTCCCTTGTAAATTCAACGATGATTTAATTTGTATATATGTGGTTGTGGTTATAAAGGCCTGTGCTCGGTTTACTATGTACGCATTTCATTTGTTCATCAGTGTCATCGTGCACTTCGTCCCCCAAGGATCATGACCTCCCGAGCACCTGGGGTCGTTAATCCTTCGGCATCTCATGCGGTTGTTACGTTTGGCTCCTGCGAGTTCGCTTGCGACGGGCACCCTCCCACAGCAGAGGTCACAATGGCAGTGTCCGAGGGTAGCTCCCGAGAAGCAGCGTCACCGGTCGACACGGTGACCACCAATCCTGACCCTCTTCTCCTGGATTGTTGTTGTTGTTTCTCCGTGTATCTTCAAAGACGCCCGTCTCTCAAGCACCCGAGTAGCCCGAGCCAACCCTGCACAGCTCAAGTTTGAGCGAAGTATCATCCTTTATGGCACCACCGCTGACCTCTGTCTCATCAGTGTACAGCGGGGTCAGTTCAAGTGAAGGAGAGGGACTGTGGCATGGCAGGTCGTCCACGCAGGATCGTGACACCGTGGGAAAGTCTTCATCCAGCTTGTGGATGAAGACTTTCCCACGGTGTCAGAATTTATCCTCGAGAAATTCGAAGCGCTATGAAGCTCTTTCACAGGTGTCGACCGATGGCATGGAGAGCTTAATTGTATTGTTTCATGGTTGATCGGAAAAAAATCCACAAAGTGCATACACACAGAGCGTTATTTCCCACGTAATTGTATTTCAGGCGAAGCATTGCTCACAATTCCTTTCGTGTTCACGAGACATTCCACATCATTGTAATAATCAGTCGCGTAATTAGAATCCTGTGCTAGGGGATGAACTGGAGCCATCATCATCCCTCCTCCGCTGCGACCTAGCATATGCTGACAATAATGAATTTCCACCACTGGCCCAGGGTCACAAGTGATTGGCCCCTGATGTTCCACATCCCGAGGAAGACGCTGCCAGGGTATTCAAGTTCATGCGGGAAAACGACCCAACATCCCAAGACGGGAATGGAATTTAAACACCAATGCATGCGGTGTGCCAGAATTGATATCTGTTGAGTTAAAAACCATGTAAATAACAACACCCATCTCATCACCTTAAACACCATTCACTGGATAATAATGCATCGCTCTCTTAACGTGACAAACCTTACTAATTGTCTGTGTCGGGTGGCGGTGGGTTAGTGGCACATTTATATTCACGCGATCCGACCCAAAACTTTGATTACGAATAAAAGCGTCGCGAAAGCCGACTTGCTGCATGTTAAAATGCAAGCAGGGGTACCCACCTGCCCTGGGTTTGACCCGGAGAGTCTGGGACTTGGCATCTGTGTTGGGGCGGCTGGGCATTCATCTCGGGCCGAGATCTGGTGCTCGGGCCGTGTTAACCTTGGCAGTGCGGTGCCTTGGCTGCCCGGGAAAGACATCTGGGGTTTGGTCCGTGGTAAAATGCATTCGTCCTAAATTCGAGCGATGTTTCAAAAACTATTACGGACTGCAAAAAAATCACGCTGCGCGAGTCTTAAAGTCTTACTGTTCACTCATTTTAAAATGTAGCCCATCGGCCACATGGTTGGAACACTCAACAGAGTCGCAGGTATCTGGTTGAGGGTCCAGTCCATACACCATCGTCCCCGTGGGATTGTTAAAATTAGCATTGGGCATCTTCAGGCAAGCCTAAACCCCCCTTGCCATAGCAACGTGGAATTTCCACCACTGGCTCTGGGCCACGCTCGCCAGAGAAGGGAGATGTCCGGCTCAAGCGGTCACCAACCAGCCCAAGTGCGGCACGGGGAAGCACTGCTCGGTGTAGTCCACTCAGGAAATAGGGTGGAAATTCCACGTTTCTATGGCCGGGGAAAGCCGATTCATAACATAATCACTGTTGGTTTTCCATTTCATGGGATAAGTCAACTGCGAATTGGGTCCTGAACTACTCACGATTCGAGTGGAGGTCTCTCACAGCCGCGCCACACCACAGACCGGCGACACGCGGCGAGTGCCGTGGGAATTGCAGCAATTGCCTTAACATTCTTGAACATTCAAAATCGGCATTCCTGTGCCTTTCTATTCCGAAAGCTCACCACGGCTTCCTACGCACTCCGCAGCGCTACTCTAGTCTTGACTGTACCGCGAGGGCTAAACCTTGAATCGAAACGTGACTCCGAATCGTCGGCATTCTTAACGTCGTTAACGTGACCACGTCGGTGAAGGTGGACGGCCGCGGCGACGAGCACGGGGTGGGGGCAGCGGGCACGACGAGCGGCCCGCCGGCCCGCCGGCCTGCCGTTGCAGCTACTGGATGCAGTCGAGCACGTGGATCTGCAGCGTGTCCATGTCGGGCGCGTTGAAGTTGCAAATCGGGCAGGTGTGCTGCATCTGGTTCAGCTGCACGGGGGGCGGGTTGGGCACTGCGCACGCAGCGGTGGCGACAACAACAGACCGCCACGTCGTCAGGAAGGTTCCGCTAACGACGCGCAAGACGAGAGGGTGAAAGGACGCACCGGGTGTATGTGCGTGGGGGTGGGTGCGCGTGTGGGTGCGCGTGGGTGCGCGTGCGTGCGTGTGTGTGCGTGGATGCACGTACTCGGCAGGGGCTGGGGCAGAGGGGCAGCCTCTCGATCGTCCTGCATGAAGTGCCCCGTGTGGCGTCTCTGCATCTCTTGGAGATGCCCTCTGCACACACACAGCATGGACACACCACCTGTGAGCTGCCCCTGTGCATACACGTGGTACCTGGTGTGTGTGCTGTGTGTGTGTGGTACCTGCTGTGTGTGTGTGCTGTGTGTGTGTGGTACCTGCTGTGTGTGTGTGTGCTGTGTGTGTGGTACCTGGTGTGTGCGTGTGTACGTGTGGTACCTGCTGTGTGTGTGTGCTGTGTGTGTGCTGTGTGTGCGGTACCTGCTGTGTGTGTGCTGTGTGTGTGCTGTGTGTGCTGTGTGTGTGCTGTGTGTGCTGTGTGTGTGTGTGGTACCTGCTGTGTGTGTGCTGTGTGTGTGGTACCTGCTGTGTGTGTGGTACCTGCTGTGTGTGTGGTACCTGGTGTAGGCCTCGAGCTCGTCCTTGATCCGCTCGTTGTCGAGCCGCACGGCTGCCAGCTGCTCCTTCAGCTTCTCCTTCGCACAGTGCATCTCCTCGCGAGCCGTCCGCTCCGCTTCGAAATCCAGCTTGAAAATCTCGGCCTGCGCGAGAACACGCCATGCCGCCATCCCGTGGCTTCTGATGCATTTCGACGGAGTCCCAAAGTTTATTCGATGGTTCAGGGCTAGCGCGTGGCCGCGCAACACGCACACACGCGTGAAGACAAAGATCCCCCGTGTAGCCCACGCGGGCCGTTGGGGCGAGTGCTTTTAGTGGCCAGGTTTTAATCTGACCTCGGGGAGGCAGAGAACTGGTTCGGATGATCGTCACTGTTGGCTGTGAACGGGAATTGAACTCGGGTCGCTGGGTTCATGGTGCAGCGTAGCGCTAACCGCTACACGACCGCTCCAGGTGCACAAAACAAAGACAAAGATCCCCCGTGTAGCCTTAACAGACTGTAGGGGCAAGTGCTGTTAGAGAGCAGCACCTATGAAGGCCGGAACGGTACACGAGGGGTTGGGTGGCCAGCACCACGCCCGACCGCCTTTGTCTCCCCAGTGGCGACGTTTACACACCGCACCAGGTACTCATTTGAGGCCGAGTCGACCTAGGGGACGCCCAGTACCGGTTCGGATAATCGTCACCGGTGTTGGCCGTGAGCGGGAATCGAACCCGGGTCGCCGGGTTCAAAGCGCAGCGTAGCGCTAACCGCTCCACCGCCGCTCCCCGCATTGCACGCACAAACACGCGCACACACACGTGGATCCGTACGTACGCACGCACGCACCTGTGCCTTGAGCACGGCCATTGTCTCCAGCTGGCCCTCGCTGCGGGCCACAGCACCCTTGAGCTTGTCGATGAGCTCCTGCTTGTCGAGCAGCGCCTGCTCACTCTCGTGCAGCTGCTCGTGCAGGCGCATTGACTCGCGAGGGTCCGGCATCTGTCGCGGCGCGCCACGGGGGGGGGGTAGGTGTCACACACGGCCGCGCTTGTGCACCGACGGGGGCACACGGTAGGGTGGCCGCTCTGGCTGAGCCGCGCCTCGCTCGGCCCACCTGTGTGCTGTGTGTGTGTGCTGTGTGTGTGCTGTGTGTGGTACCTGCTCTGTGTGTGTGCTGTGTGTGTGTGCTGTGTGTGTGCTGTGTGTGGTACCTGCTGTGTGTGTGTGCTGTGTGTGGTACCTGCTGTGTGTGTGTGCTGTGTGTGTGCTGTGTGTGTGCGGTACCTGCTGTGTGTGCTGTGTGTGTGTGGTATCTGCTGTGTGTGTGTGCTGTGTGTGTGTGGTACCTGCTGTGTGTGTGTGCTGTGTGTGGTACCTGCTGTGTGTGTGTGCTGTGTGTGGTACCTGCTGTGTGTGTCTGCTGTGTGTGTGTGCTGTGTGTGTGCTGTGTGTGTGCTGTGTGTGTGTGGTACCTGCTGTGTGTGCTGTGTGTGTGTGCTGTGTGTGTGCGCTGTGTGTGTGTGCTGTGTGTATGCTGTGTGTGTGTGGTACCTGCTGTGTGTGCTGTGTGTGTGTGGTACCTGCTGTGTGTGTGTGCTGTGTGTGGTATCTGCTGTGTGTGTGGTACCTGCTGTGTGTGCTGTGTGTGTGTGGTATCTGCTGTGTGTGTGCTGTGTGTGTGTGGTACCTGCTGTGTGTGCTGTGTGTGTGTGGTATCTGCTGTGTGTGTGTGCTGTGTGTGTGCTGTGTGTGTGTGGTACCTGCTGTGTGTGCTGTGTGTGAGCCGGTCTCCTGTTAAGTGGTCGTGGGAACGCGTCGCACAGGACACGCGGCGCGACGCCGTGACACCCACCATTTTTTTCTGCTGCTCCATCTCCTTGATGAGCTCGTCGTAGTTTGCGAACAGCTGGTTGTAGGCAGCCTGCAGCTGCGCCAGCTTGCGCCTGGGTTGAAGGGGCACGGCGCAGACACGAACCACCCCCGGTAACAAATTGGCCGCCGTTTCGTTTCGTTACAAAAAACAAAACTTGGATCCGCTCGTGACCCACCGATGTCACCGGACATCTCCAGAAAGCCACCGGTCACGCTGCAGATAATAATGTTTGGTTTTTATACGGCGGCGGTAATACAAGTTGCGCCTCGCAATCGCCGAGGAAACCACAGACACGAGCTGGAAGGGGCAGCCAAGCATTGAGCCGGTGCCACCAACACTGGCCCAAGCTTCAAGCTCATGGAGGGGATGCTCGGCACATGAAGTCTCGAGTGCCCGTCGATAGAATAAGAGACGTGTGGTTTGGGGGTTCCTGTTACGGTAACGCATTTTTTTTGCCAAATCCGTAAATGCGGGCCGAGTAACGGCATCGCCACAACGCAACACCGACAACCACCACGCACGACCCACGACCCTCGACCCGCGACCCTCGGCCCTCGACCCTCGACCCGCGACCCACTTCTCCTCGGTGGACTTCTGCCGCTCGGCCTTGAGGGCCGACTCGCTGTCGTGGCACTGCAGCGTGAGGCGGGTGACGGCGAGCGTGTGCTGCTGCCTCTGCTCCTCCACCTCGCCCTGCAGACGCTTGTGATTCGCCTCCAGGGCGTGCACCCTGAAGAGAGGGGGAACAAGCCGCAGGTGACGCAACGGAGCCCCGACAGACGCGCGCGCGCGACGGGGGAGTCGTCCGTCGACCACTCTCCGCCTTCGGGCCTCGTCTCTTTCCAACGGTGTCCGTCGGGCTGGTCTCTACTTTCCTGAGATGCGTTGGCGGATCGCTGCTCATTAAGACGCACGCTACCGCGGTTGCCTCGCATTACGGTGCAGGAGGCGATCGGGGAACACCCTGCGGTCATCGGTCGTGCTTGTCACGGAACGGCGACGCCGCACGATAAGATCGCGCGATGTCCTGGCCACCAAAAACGAAGGGCCCACCGGGCCTTCTGGTTCTCCAGCAGCTTTGGTTTCAATCGGCAAACTCTGGGCTCATCGGCAGTGCCTCGGCTCGTGAAACATACGCCCCTGGGATGCCCTCCACGTTCGTTTACGTATTACCCACAATGCAACGAGATGGCGTGCAATGATTGTTTTGGGCGGACTCACCGTTCACAGGTCACCTCACAAGGAAGACGACGCTTAGGGCTGTCCCGCAGACCAGTTGGTGCGGAAAATTTCACGTGACCATGATGGGGGATTAGTCTTTCTTCAGCTGACTTCCCACAGAGTGATACTCATTTTATTTGTGTTTATGGGTCTCTGTATAAGTATGTGGGTCTCTCGTGTGTCAATGGGTCTGTGTCAGCCGGCGGGTCTCTGTGCGAGTGTGTGGGTCTCTGTGCGAGTATGTGGGTCCTCTGTGCAAGCCAATGGGTCTCTGAGTCTGTGGGTCGCTGTGATCTCATGTCCACTGTGAGCGTTCTCGAAGGGCACTTGGTGAGCTCTGAAGTCAGCAGCAGCCGGGTTCACAACGTGCACGCGGCTTTATAGCTGCTACACCGTTCACGTCCAGAGAGTGGGGGGGGAGGGGGTGGGGAGACTGGCGGGGCCAGCAGCAGCTCAGGCAGCCGGGGGGGGGGGCACCCTCCTCACCGCTGCTGCAGGTTCCTCTTGAGCGTCTCGGCCGCCTGCAGCTTGTTCTGCGCCTCGTTGAGCTCCCCGACCAGCGAGGTCACTTGCGACTTGAGCATCTGCACGTCCTCCAGCGATTGCTGCCAAAGATATGCGGCGTCGGCACTCCCCACTCACACCACACGGGACCCCCCCATCGGCTCGGTGCGACCGTGCCGAGCGGCGCATCGATTGTGACGGCCGCGGTGCTTGCGAATTCAGTAACATTGCGGTGAAGATGAAAGAACTTGGGACAACTTGGCCCGTGCCGTCAGCAACGCTGCGGCGGCCGACTCTTCTAGGGGGTGACGTCACGTGGCCTGCGGATTCCACCGCGATTAGCACGGTCGGCTACGTACGGTGCGAAGGAAGTTCAGCGTGCAGACATACGCTGCGTGGCAGGCAAGCGTGTTTCAACAGCTCGGGCCCCCCCCCCCCCCCCGCCCCCGCCCCCCCCCCCCATGCACCTGCTTCTCGGCGTGGCTGCGCTTCATCTCGTCGATCTGCCGCATGAGCGCCTCGATGCGCTTCTGCGCGTCCTGCCGGTGCGTGCTGTTGGCGCCGGCGAGCTGCGCCAGCTCGCTCTCCTTGTCGCGCAGGCGCGCGCTCAGCTCGTCGCGCAGCGACGCCGTCTCCGCCGCGGCGTCCGCCAGGCGGCTCTCCGCCTCCGACACGCGCAGCTCCAGCTCCGCCTTGCTGCGCCACGCAAACCACGGGCAGGCGTCGCCCCCCCCCCCCCCGCCACGTCGCCGTGAATGGACCGTCGGGGCGAGTGCCGGTGGCGAACAGTTGCCGTGAAGGCCGAAACGGCGCACGACGGGGGGGTTGGGTGGGCCAGCGCCACGCCCCCGGCCGGGTTTTGTCTCCCCGGCGCTGATATTTACACGTCGCACCGGGTACTCATTTGAGGCCGAGTCGACCTAGGGGAGGGCCCCGAGAGCGGTTCATATAGAATCGTGACCGTGAGTGGTTACCGATTTCGGGTCGCCTGCGTTGTGGGGCAGCGCGCTAACGGCTACACTCCCACACGCTACGTGAAATGCACGAAGGCAGATGGACAGGCAGACAGAGAGACAAGTGAATGGATGGACACAGAAGAGAATGACGGACAAATGGGCAAACAGGCGGGCAGAAAGGTGCGCGAAAGAGACATGCACATACAGGTGAATGGGTACCGGGAATTGCGACAGGCAGAGAGGCCACACAGAACGAGAAACAGTGGATAGGCGAAGACACTCAAAGACTAAGATACTCGGAGAAACGGACACTCGGGACAGCAGGAGGTGTTTCTGCTGAAGCCATTGACATTGCAGATGGAGGTAAACCTGGCAAGGGTGGTGCTGGAGGTGGAGGGGTGGTTGCTAGACACAATGCCGGCCCTGCCAGTGTAGCTGCATGGGGTGTAGAGGGAAGCCGTGTCCACGCTCAAGGCAGTGCAGAAAAATACAACGTTGTTGCTACAGGTTGTGGTGCTGATGGAGTAGAGGTGGTGATTGAGGTGGAGCATGTATAGGAGACGGTGGTGGTGATAGAGGTGGGGTAGGTGCTGGTGTAGTAGTGGTTTAGGTGGTGCTGGTGTAGTCATGGTGGAGGTGGTGCTGGTGTAGTAGTGGCCGAGGTGGTGTTGGCGTAGGAGACAGTGGTGGTGACGGTGGAGGTGGTGTCGGTGCTGTTGTTCGTAGAGGCGGTAGTGGAGGTGGTGCCGGTGCAGCTGCGGCCGGCCGAGCGCACGTCCCCACACCTGCGCTCGCTCTTTCGCAGGAGCTCGTCGACCTCCTGCCGCTGCTTGGTCATCTCCTGCAGCTGCAGCAGCAGGCGGCTCACGGTCAGCTCGGTGGAGCTGCTGTAAGTGCGGCCCTCCTCCAGCGGCCTGCCCCACAGCGACACGGCCACGCGTCACTCCCCACCCACCGCGCGCGAGGCGCTCTCGCCGCAGCTCGCGCGACAACCACACGCACCGTCGGAGGAGGAGACCGCGTCAGTGTCCGCTACGTACGCGTCGATGCCGCCGCACGTCGCCGTCACTTCCTCCCAGAGTTCACGGCGATTACAGAGCCTCCCATACCCCCCCCAGAGCAGAGGTGCCCAAACTTCGTGGACAGTCAGCGGACCGCTTCCCGCGTGCGCCGTTGGCCCACACACCGCTTACTCCCGCGAGGGCACCCGACGCTTGCCCTCTGACCCTTGCGCGGAGACTCACGCTGCGCTGCTGCTGCTGCCGCTCTCCGGGTTGAGGAGTTTCTCTCTCCGCGATGGCTGCTCCACCATGTTGCCTTCCACCTCCTGCGTAGCGAGACACGGACACAGCACGGCCACACGTCACACAGCCGGGAGGGCCCTGCCTACAACCCCCATTTGCATGTAACGTGTACACGTAGAGGCTGCGTGTCAATCCACGGCTGGACGAGGGCCTTGCCAAGCCGTTTGTGCTCGTGTGGGTTAATTGGGCGATGTGGGTGATGTGGTCGTGGATTGCAGTGGTTGGGCGTAATTAGGGTGGTCTGGTCGTAGATTGACAAAACAGATAAGCAGAGGATGTCTCCTTCACATATCTGTCCCTCAACGTAAACAAATTAAATGTCTATTTAACACAAACCATCGGCCGCACGGCCTTCTGGGAGCACATGTCATTGGTTCAACGTAAGCCAACTCTGGATCAGTTTCGACACTCAGCATCGATTCAAGGCTTGCTTGAATCGATGCTGGCGAACGACAAGATGTTACACGGATCCCAAAATCTCAAGAGCCAGGAGATAACTCAAGATGCGAGGGCGGGCTCAGTTTACAAGAGCGACACTGGGTAGCTCGCGCGACTCGGGAGGGCCACGCACTACCCAGAGCTGCCCTCGCGCTGCCCAGCGCTGCCCCAGCGCCGCCCCAGCGCCGCCCCAGCGCCGCCCTCACCCGGATCTCCACGTAGGACTCGTCGGTCCGAGGGCTCGATTCGCCGTCCGCCACATCGGCACTGGCCTGCAGCTGCAGCTCGTTGTTGAGGGCGACCACCTCCGCCTTCTCCTGCATCATCTTGTGCAGCTGCTCCTTCAGCTGGCGCACCTCGCCCTCCAGGTGTTCCTTCTGGTTGCGCAGCAGCACCACGTACTCGGTCTGCTCGCCCTCGCCGCCCGGCGCCTGCGGCGGTGCAGACGGACGGAGAGCGGCGGGGACGCGGCTGAAACGGGGGGCGCGGCGACGGCGACGGCCGCTCAACGCGCAGCGGCAAAGCCGACGCAAAGACTCCCCGCGCCAAAACCAGCCCCCGCCGCTCACACGCGGCAAGTGCAGGGTGACTCAGAAAGATGTTAACACTCACACGGGACTATCGTTTTTAATGGAAGAAAGAACGGATAATTGCACACTGTAACGTGATAACAAATGTCACGTTAATAGCCTCAAAAAGTCAAAGAGTATCCCACTTGTTCGCCACCGTTGTCAACGCGTGGCCTGGAATGTTCTCTCCAGGCGGTCTCCAGAGCCTGGAGGCAGCAGCACATTTCTTGTGGTTGTTGTTGCAAAGTCTCAGAAGTGTTACAAAACATTTGAAGCACCCTGTCCAAACACTTCCCACGAGGGTACTGTTTTAATCTCAATGTTACACCTGCCAACGCACAATACGATTTAGCTTAAATCTAGATTTGAAGCTTTCGTGACTGAAAGGATTCATACTCTTTGGTTTTATTCGGTAAAGTCACGTAGGTAAAAATAAAACAATTAAATCACGACGTTTCGGAGGCAACACAAGCTTCCGTCTTCAGGTGGAACAGTCACAGCAAGATCGCTGCATCAAGTGAATGAACTATATCGTCATCCTCCAGTCACAGCAAGATGCAGCGATCTTGCTGTGACTGTTCCACCTGAAGACGGAAGCTTGTGTTGCCTCCGAAACGTCGTGATTTAATTGTTTTCTTTTATTTTTATTTTACCTACGTGACTTAGCCGAATAAAACCAAAGAGTACGATTTAACTTGATGCAAAAGTTGACTTCCGACGTACGGTCAAAACATAGCCGCAACTCTCCTTACGAATTCTAGATTTGAAGCTTTCGTGACTGCAAGGATCCATACTCTTTGGTTCTATTCGGTAAAGTCACGTAGGTAAAAAATAAAATAACAAAAATCAGGTGAAGGGACCGTGCTGTCATGAGGACAGCGTTGGAGTGAAAACAGCCAAGCCCAGGTCGCGTCCTTTAAGCTGTGTGGGAGGAAGCAAACGCTTACGAACCAACAGGGATATCAACTTCACTACATGGGGCACAAACTTGGCACATGACGGTGGCAAATAGGGTCCTGAGCCAACAGCCACAGTCCCACGGTGGGGAACACACGGTCCAAAGGATGACCGCTGCTGCCACCCCACGTCAGCGCCGACCGCGTTGACCGCCAAGGGCTGAGTCGACGCCGGGCTGGGATTTTAAATCGCAACCTTCGACTCGCCACCCAACGTAACGTAACGAAACTGCGAAATATCTTGACATCAGATATTTCAAGCGTGACGCCAGTGAAAACTCCTCCGGAACCACGGCTGGTGTGTCTACGCGCCTAAAGAGATGGACGGCAGCGTTGGACCGCGACGCTCCAGGCAAGGAGGGCGTCACGGAACATACGTCGCTGAGGCCACGCAAACTCCCATCCCCAATTTGTGCGCCGCCAAACGTTTTTGTGCAATCGCAATTCGTGGGTTCCTTCCCTGTTAGCTTTTTGTTTCCGACTCTCGTGCATACTACTAAGACCCCCAAGTTCATGAGAGGTCGCAAATTCTGCATCGCGTGCCACCGAGTAAAAAAAAGTGCCAATTCACTCATTCCGCTCGTTTTCCCCGGAAGGCTCGCCGAGTCTCAAGACTCCTTTTCAGGGGGGTCCCCCCCGCCACGTTTTCAAAGTAGGAGGCGATGTTGCTGCTGTGCGACCCCAAGCGAGTAATCTGCAGGTAATCTTTCACCATTGGCATGCGTGGCCAATGCCAGTTAGAGGGCGCGTGCGCGCCTTTCACGATGGGAGGAAACCGGAGAACTGAACTCCCATACAATTAACAGCCACCTATTGTCAGAGGTGTCCATTAGGGCTGATTAAGCCAGGTGGGGGCGGAGTGGGGGGGTAATTGAAGCCCACAGGTAGAAACAGGTGACCCAGCCGTCATGATGAGGCCGATGAGCCAATGGCAAGGCAGCAGGAAGGGGGTGGCTGGCTCGTGTATATAAAGGGCTGAGCCAGAACAAACAAATCGAGGACCGGGGAGGTGGTCACGTGCAGAGGAGCGTAACGTCAAACTCTCAGCACCCGGGGACCACACGTGCTTTGGCAAGAACCAGTCTTCGAGGCTGCAAGTTAAACCTTACGCTCGCTGGAGGATGATGACGATATAGTTTATTCGTGGGTGGAACGGGAAAGTAAATGCGGCATTGCGCTGCAGGGGGCCCTTGGTGGGAGTGCAGGCTGGAGAGCAGAGCGTTCGCAGAAGGTTTGGCAAAGAGGAAGCCAACAGCCTTCCAGCAGCAGGCCAACAGGTAGGCAAGAGACGCAGCGACCATACGGCGGGGCTCGGGCCCTGGCGATGTCCAGAGGGACTGAGGCCTCGTTGAGGATCTTGCAGGGTGCAGGAGAGGAGAGAGCGGGAGAAGGGCATGGCCCAGGAGCCCCGAGTAGCAGGGCCTTGGCGTGCCCTGCTACCCACAGCAGGCCGGGAGGAGGCCTAACCAAGCCGGAGCCAGGTTAACCCAGCAGTTGTGTTGAAAGGTTGTGCCGGTATACTGCCATCCTGGATTGCGGTGATCCCATGGTTGAACTGGACTCGGACCCTCTCGCGCAATCTTGCACCGTCTCTCTGATCGTCACACTCCGCCCGTGGTACTTGTCATAAACGAGCCGATTTGGTTGATAACAATCGATACGCGATATGGCGGGCGAGGGTTTTGGGGGGGACCCCACGCACGCGAGCCCTAGGTGTTTGCGCCCGAGCCGGCCGTTGCAACCGCGCTGGGCTCCTCGGACTGACACTGAGCGGCTCCCAGCATGCACCGTGAATCGTGCCGGGGTCACGGGCTCCCACCTGGCAAGCGAGGGGCTCCGTGTGGCTGTGCCGCTACGAGGGAGCGCTACGGCAGCGCACCTGAAGCTCGCGTTAATGAATCTCGCGCGCTAGTAATGGACGGGCTGGGCGAGACGGCCTAGGCGCTCGTCTTCAAACCACCGGCTGTTTGTTTCCTTTTTTGCATCCACCGTTGGGCATCTCACCCTCAAGTTCGCTGCCATGTGGCTCACGTCATCCTCCCAGGCGAGGCTTGCCGAGGCGCTGGCCAGCGTCGACAGAGAAGAGCCCGCGCTCTTGGGCTGCGGGGGGCACGGAGACACCGCAACACGGCAATCAAAACCGGCGGCGGACGGTCGACCGTACCGACCCGCGAGAGATGTACCGCGCTACGTTCACCCACCTCAAGCATTTGAACGCTCAAGCTTGCGTTTGCGAGTCGAGCGCTCACCAACATCGCGTCGCCGGCCGTAACCCCCACAACCCGGCGTGACAAAGATCCCGCGCCCTGTTGGCCCGCCAATCGACCTCATCCACACCTCCCGTGACCTCCTGAACCGTCACAATTGTTACTCCAGGTCAAGGCTGGGGGGTGGGGTCGGCACGGAGGCGACTCGTACCTCCGCACGGGCGCTCTCCTCGTTCTCCTCCTCCTCCTCACCGCCGCCACGGAGCTGCTTCTCCGCTTGCAGCAGCTTTCGCTTGTAGCCATTGCACTCGGTCGTCAGCCTCTCCACGCTGATCCGGGCCTCCGTGAACTTGGCGACGGCAAACTCCTTCTCCTTCTGCAGGCCGTCGCGCCACGCCATGATGTCCGTGTACTGCTGCTGCATCGTCTGCGTCATGGTCTTCACGGCATCTGCGGGGTGAGGCAACCGCCGATTACTACGAGCAGAGTCAGACCCCCCGAGTGACTTTATTGCGTATGCTGAAACAAAATCACCGAGTCATTCCCCGACCTGCGAGTAAATGAAGGCAGTGGATCGCTTCTCAAACTCTCTTATCAAAAAGCCAAATTGGCTTGCTGCCTCACTAGGTACGCTCCGTTTCTGCTTGCAGCCCTGGACGTTGTGCACGTGTCCACAACGGCGTACGCGCGTGCCTGGTTAAGCGTGTAATAATATATGCGCGCGAGCCGGCTGGCACGCACGCACGCGTGCGCTGGCCCGCTAAGTGTGCGGTGTGCTTGTAGGCGCGAGGTGGCTCGCGAGTGACCCACTCCTGAGCTCGTCGTTCTCGCGCAGCAGGTCTCGGATCTGCTGCACCGTCTCCTCGGGCGAGAAGAGGCTGGATGGAGGGGGCCCCGAGCAGGACGAGGGGCCCATGCGCAGGGGCCCCTGTGCGTCGACCGGTGAGGTGCCCATGGCGTGGGCTCCGTTCATCTGCAGGCGGGGCGGCCTCTCGTGCTCCAGCGACATCTCCGCTCACCTCCGCTCCTGGAGCGACAAAACCAGCCGGGGTGAGCGACGGACGGTAACGCGCCGGCGCGCCGGCGCTCCGTCAGTGGGTCCCTCGGCACCGCGGACGTACACGGAGGTGGTGGGGGGGGGGGGGGCGGAAATCGGGTTCGGAGTACGCCGTTATAACCACTGCACCAATGACAAAGATCCCGATCCCCCCCGTATAGCCTTCGTCAGACTGTTGGGGCAAGTACTTTTAACGAGCACCTAATGAAGGCTGGAACGGTGCCAGCACCTCATGGTTGATGTTTACACACCGCGCCAGGTACTCATTTGAGCCCAAGTCGACCTCGGGGAGGCCCAGGACCGGTTCAGATAATCGTCACCGATGTTGGCTGTGAGCCGAAATTGAACTCGGACTGCCGGGTTCGCAGCGAAGCTTGCTAGCCATTGCACTACCACTCCCCACGATAACCACTGCACCATCGCTCCCCACACGCGCTTGTGCCACACTAGCCCCACTTTAATACCACGGGAAGTGTGGAAGGCTCGCTGGCAGGTCACAAGACAGACCCGTGTCTTCGGTGTTAACTGACCGAGATGACTGGCAAATGCACCACCTGTGTACCCCAATGCCAACCTGTCATGTTCTAGCAGACTAAGGCACACACAAGGAGCCAGGCGGTGAATACAAGCGTCAACTTTCACTTCTCCATTTGCTCGTTTGTTCAGGAGTGAGACAACCATTTCGTAATGTGGCGTGAATGACGTATCACTTCCCGGTAAGAATGGGACACGCATGATTAAGTTAGTGATGCTGGGCTCCACACCGCAAAACGGGCCTCGGGGACCATGACAGAGAGGGCAGACAGGCAAGCAAGCACCATAGGTAATCGAGTTTAAGGGTAGGAAGGTTTTTAAGTATGTAGCTAGGTAAGCAAGCAATCTGTTGGGCAGGCAGACACAAAGGCAGGTAGGCAAGTAGGCAGGTAGTTAAAAGTGCCACACTATCGCTTATTGTAGCACGGAAACATAACTTTAAGCCACGACATTTAAAATGTGCGTGGTGAATAAAATCAGGATTCTGAAGTCACCAATTAGAACAAATGACCTTGCGCTCGGTGTGTGATGTCTCGGAGCTGATCAGTTCAAAGGTTATCTCATCATCAGCACAACTCTAAGTGAGCCTAACCTGACGCGTGGGTTTTTGGGGGTCAATATTCATGACCAGGAGGGAATCGGCAGCGCACGAAGGAAAGCGACTGCCATCGCAGCGTCCCTCTCCCCACAGCCATTCACCCCCACAGTGACTCCATGCATCGTCTCGATTCAGGGCTGCGATTTGATTCAAGAACCAATCGAATTGTTTTGCCTCTTATTATCTTTCCATCTCATTTCCATTGTTTCTCATTGGTCCTGTCTCGTTCGTCACGTTTTTTTTTTTCACTTGCTGAAAGAGCTTGAATATAGCACGAGCTATCACGAAGACGTGAATTCGCACACGTGATTTAAACGTGTGCGATGCGAGCGTGTGGTTGGGGTTGGAGCTTGTGGTGGGGATTCCAATCCGAGACACGGGCCACTCCCGACACACTTGGGAGTGCAGCAGGTGGGCCGAGTTGACCCCGGCCAGGGTTTGAACCCGCGTATTTTTTCACAGCGAGTAGAGCTCTTTAAAATTGCCGTGCCACCGGCTATACCCACTGCACCATGTGACACTGTGGTCGATTAATTATACCGCACGCGTTCAGCAAGCCAGAAATTAGGACTTCTCAAAAATGTAAGACCCATTCCTGGAATTATGGGCGATTTGCTTTTTTTTTTAGACCTGGCTCGCAAAAAATATTTTCAAGGTCAGCAAATGGGAGAATTTGTCATCGTGCATGCGTGGTTTGAACAGAAAAGGCCGCTCTGAAACACTTGGCAGTAGGTCGGCTAAATGTGTCACAAAGGCATTAACTCCACAGTGACCATATGATTTGTGCCCACTAAAATTTGATTTAATTAAGCAGCGGCAAGGTCGTATTTATTTTAGTCAACTATTTATTTCAAGATGCAAGTCCCATGCATTCGTATCGCTGAATGTGTTTGTGATGCCGTGCCAGGTAAAGCGAATATCTCCCCGAGACATGGACGCATATCAAGGTCCGTTTTTTGCATTCTATCTGAAATAAAGTTACATGTCAGGCATTCTAATCCTGCGCATGGCAATATGTTCAGGAGCTAAATGCCAATGTTGAGCTCTGCTGCTGGCCACGATGAGAGGGCTTCGGGAGAGAGATTGTGTCGTTTTACATTCCTCCTCCATTGCAGGAGGGCAGACGACAGCAGGTTAACTGTATGGTCCACATTTTTTTTATTTAAAGCTTTCGTGACTGCAGGGATTCATATTCTTGGTTCTTTTGGTAATGTCACGTATAAGGGAAACAATAAAATAATAAAAATATAAAACAATAAAATTCTCACGACGTTTTGACTGCAACACAAGCAATCATCATCAGGTGTGAAAACCACAGCAAGAAAATTTGAAAAAATTTGAGAAAAAAAATGTTCTTGCTGTGGTTTTCACACCTGATGATGACTGCTTGTGTTGCAGTCGAAACGTCGTGAGAATTGTATTGTTTTATATTTTTATTATTTTATTGTTTCCCTTATACGTGGTGACTTTACCGAAAGAACCAAGAATATGTATGGTCCATAGTTTGGGTTGCATGGCCACGACCGTGAATTGCCTTTCACATTTTGCATTCGTGAAGGAGACGTGCACAATTGTCGAGCGGACAACTTCTGCAACATTTAAATGTTCCAGCTGTTCATCAAGGCGGTGTGTTGCGAGCAACATTCTCTCTTTTTTTTTTAAATGTCAAAATCTGGTATTCGTACAGATACACGGCTTCCGTGTGGCCACAGTCAAATATAAATAGGTGCCACTTGACTCTTGGCCTTGCGGCACGGCCTTTCGCTAGAGGGCGTTTGCGGCGTCTGCACTTTTATTTTGTACAAACTCTGCTATGGAGCGAGATGCCGTCTCTTGAGATTGAGAAGTGTCGACACCGTAAAACTTCACGTTCTTCTAGTCTTGCAGGGGGGCCAGTTTTGAACTACTATCGGCTGACAATGCACTGCGATTCGAAGTTGAGAAGACACGGAAACCGTATTCTTAGTTTTTTCGGTAAAGTCACGTTGAAGAGAAACAACAAAATAACAAAATATATATAAAACAATAAAAAAAAAACCGGTTAAACCACTTCAAGAAGGCCTCCCCCCTATTGAAAGGTCAGGCCTTGCACACTGTACCAGAAGGGGGAGTTGACCGCGAGAGCAGCAACAAAATGCAATGACAGCGATCTTGTGTTGTTGGATCACCCTCGATGACGGGTTGAGCAACGTCCAGCTGGAAGCTAAGACACTGACGGGCATTCCACATTCTCATGCTGGGCCCTTTAAACATCTACAGGACGACGACCACAACGTTGTTGACTTCCACCAGCGATGCCCAATGTATCGATCCCCCCCAAGAGAACATCACAAAGCGGGCCACTATAAACGAACACTCCACTCCTGGTGTAGCGAGCACAAGAGCTGGCGACCTGGTGCACGAATTCCTTTCTTTTTTTTAAATCAACAGTGCTCAAACTCCGCGCACATCAGCACTGGGGTGGCCGCGAGCCAGTGGTGGAAATTCCACGTTACCAGGGCGGTGCCATTCCACTCGTAGGAGGAAACTGCCGCTCCGAGTGCCCGCCGAGTGGTGCCGATTTGATCCGTCCCGCTGTCGGGCGGCGCTGTGACAACGGCAATTACTGAACAATGATCGTGAAAGGACAGAAATGTTGTATTGCTCGTGGGAAAAAGGAAATTCATATCTCATCGGATTCCTCCAGTCTAAGCAAAGGTAGCCGTCGTAGTTTTACAATGAGTGGCGGTGGCGCTTTGGTCGAAGCACTGGGATATTAACGTGGCGACCGAACATTTCATTCCAAGCCACAGCTAACGTCCATTCAGTGGCGACATCTGAACCGGATACTCTACTGGGCCCTATCCCCCTTTCACCAACCCTGCAATGACCAGCGCGGTGAAGTATGGTCAAATACCTACGGCCAACATGGCGCGGGCGAACTTCAGGCAGCAGTGGATTGAGAAAGGTGTTCAATCTAATTATACAGGAGCTCTGGTCAACCATGCGGACCGCTTCGGCTCGCCCCTACTGTGTTCACCACCCACTATACTGCAGGCCACAAGACCAATACCAATAGCCGCCATTCGCCATGTAAGTGACGGTGACGGCACCCGTGCCAGGCTCGGTGCACTTTGAGGTCACGTGAAGTGTCGAAGGCTCGCTGGCAGGAGGTCTCGGGACAGGCCCAGCCAGTGCCATGCGTTGGCTGACTGAGATGACCGGTAGCTGCACCGACTGTGCCAACTTGCTGCAATTTATCCGCCCGACGCTCCGCTCGTTGTGAGCGTCGTGCGTGCCACAAGACACTCGCTCAGTCACCCACTCAACCACTCGCCCACCCACTCGCTGACCCACTCACTCGCTCACCCAACAAATCACTCACGCAACCAACCATTCATTCGCTCAACCACCCACTCACTCGCTCAACCTCCCACTCACTCGCTCAACCACCCACTCACTCACCCAGACACCCAACCACTCACTCGCTCAACCACCCACTCACTCACCCTGACACCCAACCACTCACTCGCTCAACCAGACACTCACCCAACCGCTCACTCGCTCACCCAGACACTCACCCAACCACTCACTCGCTCACCCAGACACTCATCCAACCACTCACTCGCTCACCCAGATACTCACTCGCTCACACAGACACTCACCCAACCACTACCTCGCTCACCCAACCACTCACTCGCTTACCCAACCACTCACTCGCTCATCCAACCACTCACTCGCTCACCCGCTCACCCAACCACTCACTCGCTCACCCACTCACGTCGCTCAACCACCCACTCACTCACCCAGACACTCACCCAACCACTCACTCGCTCACCCAACCAATTCCTCACTCACCCAACCACTCCCTCGCTCACCCAGACACTCACCCAACCACTCATTCGCTCACCCAGACACTCACCCAATCACTTCCTCGCTCACCCAACCACTCACTCGCTCACCAAGACACTCACCCAACCACTCACTCGCTCACCCAGACACTCACCCAACCATTCACTCGCTCAACCAAACACTCACTCGCTCACCTAACCACTCACCCAACCACTCACTCGCTCACCAAACCACTCATTCGCTCACCCAGACACTCACCCAACCATTTCATCGCTCACCCAACCGCTCACTCGCTCATCCAACCACTCACTCGCTCACCCACTCACGTCGCTCAACCACCCACTCACTCACCCAGACACTCACTCGCTCACCCAGACACTCACCCAACCACTCACTCGCTCACCCAACCACTCACTCGCTCACCCAACCACTCACTCGCTCACCAAACTACTCACTCGCTCACCCAGACACTCACCCAACCACTCATTCGCTCACCCAGACACTCACCCAATCACTTCCTCGCTCACCCAACCACTCACTCGCTCACCAAGACACTCACCCAACCACTCACTCGCTCACCCAGACACTCACCCAACCATTCACTCGCTCACCCAAACACTCACTCGCTCACCCAACCACTCACTCGCTCACCCAACCACTCATTCGCTCACCCAGACACTCACCCAACCATTTCATCGCTCACCCAACCACTCACTCACTCACCCAGACACTCACCTAACCACTCACTCGCTCACCCAGACACTCACCCAGACACTCACTCGCTCACCCAACCACTCACTCGCTCACCCAACCACTCACTCGCTCACCCAGACACTCACCCAACCACTCACTCGCTCACCCAACCACTCACTCGCTCACCCAACCAATCACTCGCTCACCCAGACACTCACCCAACCACTCACTCGCTCACCCAGACACTCACCCAACCACTCACTCGCTCACCCAACCACTCACTCGCTCACCCAGACACTCACTCGCTCATCCAGACACCCAACCACTCACTCGCTCACCCAGACACTCATCCAACCACTCACTCGCTCACCCAGACACTCACTCGCTCACCCAGACACTCACCCAACCACTCACTCGCTCACCCAGACACTCACCCAGACACTCACTCGCTCACCCAGACACTCACCCAACCACTCACTCGCTTACCCAGACACTCACTCGCTCACCCAGACACTCACTCGCTCACACAGACACTCACCCAGACACTCGCTCACCCAGACACTCGCTCACCCAGACACTCACCCAGACACTCACTCGCTCGCCCAACCACTCACCCAACCACTCACTCGCTCACCCAACCACTCATTCGCTCACCCAGACACTCACTTACTCACCCAGACACTCACCCAACCACTCACTCGCTCACCCAGACACTCACCCAGACACTCACTCGCTCACCCAACCACTCACTCGCTCACCCAACCACTCACTCGCTCACCCAGACACTCACCCAACCACTCACTCGCTCACCCAGACACTCACCCAACCACCCACTCACTCACCCAACCACTCACTCGCTCATCCAGACACCCAACCACTCACTCGCTCACCCAGACACTCATCCAACCACTCACTCGCTCACCCAGACACTCACTCGCTCACCCAGACACTCACCCAACCACTCACTCGCTCACCCAGACACTCACCCAGACACTCACTCGCTCACCCAGACACTCACCCAACCACTCACTCGCTTACCCAGACACTCACTCGCTCACCCAGACACTCACTCGCTTACCCAGACACTCACTCGCTCACCCAGACACTCGCTCACCCAGACACTCACCCAGACACTCGCTGGCTCACCCAGACACTCGCTGGCTCACCCAGACACTCGCTGGCTCACCCAGACACTCGCTGGCTCACCCAGACACTCACCCAGACACTCACTCGCTCACCCAGACACTCACCCAGACACTCGCTCACCCAGACACTCACCCAACCACTCACTCGCTCACCCAGACACTCACCCAGACACTCACTCGCTCACCCAGACACTCACCCAACCACTCGCTGGCTCACCCAGACACCAACACCGCTGGTTCACCGTGGCACGACTCCGCTTTGTAAATTCCCTCCGACCACAAACGCCTCCTCCTCTGCGTCCGATGGAGCACGCGTGTCACACAGCCGCCTCTCGCTGTTCACAACGTTGGCGCTCGTGCTGATTGCTGCTGGCCGCTTAACGCTGCTGGGCCCGCGGGGCCTTGCCGGGCCGAGCAGAGAAAAGTTCCTCCGACACCCGCAGCGGGCCTCGCTCTCGGCCTCGGCCATCCTCACCGCGGCCACCACGGCACTCGTGTTAATAGGGAGCGAGTTAATAGGACCGGGTTAATAGGGGGGGCGAGTTAATAGGACCGGGTTAATAGGGGGGCGAGTTAATAGGACCGGGTGAACGCGACCGAGCGAAAAGGTCCCAGTTAATGGGGACTGTCTTAACAGGAGCGTTTTTAACGGGGGCCGCGTTAACAGGGCCGAGTTTATAGGTCACGGTTAACAGGGCCGAGTTCACAGGGCCGAGATGACAGGGCCGAGTTCACAGGGCCGAGATGACAGGGCCGAGATGATAGGGCCGAGTTCACAGGGCCGAGTTCACAGGGCCGAGTTCACAGGGCCGAGATGATAGGGCCGAGATGACAGGGCCGAGTTCACAGGGCCGAGATGACAGGGCCGAGATGACAGGGCCGAGTTCACAGGGCCGAGATGATAGGGCCGAGTTCACAGGGCCGAGATGACAGGGCCGAGATGACAGGGCCGAGATGACAGGGCCGAGATGACAGGATCGTGTTAATGGGATCGTGTTAATGGGATATCCCACAGACGCACCTTGGTACCGGGCCCACGAGCGGCCTCGGGACTTCCTGCTTCCAGGCCGCCGGAAGACGCCGCGAGTCGGCGACGGAGCGCAGCCCTCTCCCGCCGCTACCTCACGAGGAAGATAACCACCCACTAACCAAACCCCAAAAACGTCGCGAAACTAAATAAAGTAGCGAAATGATCTTCTTCTAATTACCGAGATTTAACGCTGCCCGAAGAAGACAAGTCGGCCCTCGCGAGATGTAAACACGCGGTGACGTCAGGGAAAGCCCCCCCAAACCTCGCGCCGTGACGTCACCGCGAGGTCGATTCGGTAATCGATTCCCGAGCGGCGGGTGTGGTCGCGCGCCGCCGAGGAATCGAGAGGGCTGTATGCGTCGCGCAGAATCGATGCATAAAGGATCGACTCCTGCGTAGGCCCTGGGTTGAGAGGGCGATTCCCCCCTCCAGAAGCAGGGGATTTACCTGATAATAGGGGGTTTCCCCTTTCTGGCAAACAAAACAAGTTGTTAGGATGTTAAAACACCAAACTGAAACCTTTGCAAGGAATCATGTCTGCATTAACCACATATACGTCTGAAAATGCAAACAAACAAAATCATTATGGGACCTCCTTTGCCATATACCCAAAATATGAGAATAGGTTTTCCCCTTTTTTTATCTGGCAACAAAACAGCTGTGTGAAGATGTTTAAAACACCATATTGAAACCTTTTACAAGGAACCATGTCTGCATTCACCACATATACTTGGGGTCAGAATGCAAACAAAAAACATGCTCTGATAGTATATGTGTAGAGGTGTTATTCCACACTCCCCATGTTAGCGGGTAGCATCGCCGATGTTAAAGGACTATGGCCAAATGGGGCCAACGGTGATCCCTGGGATAACGGATCCTGGGACACAATCCCCAAACTTCCAGGACCTGGTGGAATGTTCTGGAACGAAGGAGCAAGCCCCGGACCTGAATATTAGTCGGACCTCTGAACGATCGGGGGAGTCACTTCCAAGCTGAAGACCGAAGACCTGGGCTGAGGATAGGACTCTGGACCCCAAGATCCGTCGTCCTTCTAAGGGCCGGAGCTGAGTGAGGCCAGTGGTCACGACCCGAAGACCCTGGCACGGTCGGGTCAGCGTAGCCTCCCCTAGGGCCCCTAGCCGGATAACTGGGAATTGGCGTCGTCTCAGTATTAGGGCCCGTGTAGTCCAGAGGCCATACCTCCCCAGGTATCGGGTGTAAGGGGCCACTGCCTTCTTGTGTTAGGGACCATGTAAGAAGTAGAGTGTTAACTAAATATCGTGTTGCCTCAACTGGTGTCTCTCCTGGTTTCTGACCCACTACATTTGCATTGTCTTTGAAACTGATTGGTCCACACCAGAGACAGCTTTCTTTAGAGCATAGTCTCAAAACAGTGTTAGACCAGAGGACGCCAAGGGTATTTACCTCGCAATACAATTATATTTGTGGATGCTTACGGTAATCGATATCAATCACAGTCGATCAAACGATATCTGTCGATCACTATAGATCCATTGCATGGCAACCATTGTTAAGAAGATCCACCACCTCATTGTAAAACAACCTTTGTTAGACAGTTTTCATTTCAGTTTCATTTATTTGGTATAGCCCTGTGAGCCATTCGGCTCTTGATTCAGGTGAAACTGCAACAAACAAAAAACAAAAACACGAACAAGAAAACATCTTAAAGTGACTACGCGCAAACAGAAAAATCCAGGAAAAAGACAGCAAAATCTTCCAGAAAAAGCACCGTACACCAAGGCTGTATGCAGAAATCCCAGTGGAATGCAAGTCAAACAACAACAACAACAACCACAAGACAACTTAGATTAAAGCCATCAGTTTAACTCCGTACTGCAACAAACAAACATGGCCAAACCAAAACAACTTTTCGAAATCACCAAAATTAAGCCATGAAAGCAATGTAAGACAATGACCAACTAGTGTCAATCGAGTGTATAAAACAACTGCAGGCCACTTGATCATCCTGTGCGTTTTTGTCGTGACAAGAAGATTAATTTTACTCGGCCTTTGAGCCGCGGTCCAAATCCTTGCCTCAAAAGAGAGACGGCGAAATCGGTGCCAGGGGCCTTGGCTGGCTTTCAAACTCAATCAGAATCAGAATCTTGACTTAAAGCCACACATAAATAACCTCTTGTTGTTGTAGCAGCTCTCTCGCTGGTTCAGCAGTTCCACTGCTGGATTATATTTTTTTCCGCCTGAGGACGGACCGCTTGTGTTGCGACCGAAACGTCGTGTTTCATTTTATTTTTCTACCTACGTGACTTTACCGAAAGAGTATGGATTCCTGCAGTCACGAAAGCTTCAAATCAAGAAGGAAATCATATTCTTTGGATCTTTCGGTAAAGTCACGTAGATAGGTTCAAAGACAATAACAAAAAATAAAAAAAACACGTTTCGATCACAACACAAGCGATCGCCATCAGAAGGCAAAAATAATATGACGATCGCTTGTGTTGTGATCGAAACGTCGTAGTTTTTTTTGTTATTTTCTTTGAACCTATCTACGTGACTTTACCGAAAGACCCAAAGAACAGAATCAGAATCTCAATCAGAATCTGTATTGCGACTGCGGGAGGAATCCTATTAGCTAAAAAGCTATTTTTTTCCACAGACGTCCAGTCGTAATGGTCGCAGGCAATGTGTAGAATTTGTAAGTCACACTTGATATAGTGAGATTTAATCTCTGTTGTGATGAAGACTGCCTCTGTTCCTCATCAATCCTTTTAAGATCGAGTGTTGGTAAAGCGATTGTTTTTTTTTTGGGGTGGGGGGGGGGGTGGTTAATTTTTGGTTCAACTAGAAACCGATTGAAACGGTTACGGTTCAAAGTAAGGTTCCGGGATAGCCGCCGTGCGGGGTCAGGCTAATCCGATCGCGGGTGAAGCGAGGGCAGTGGCGCTGGCCCAGCGGTCGTGCCGCGCTCCCCGCTTGGAGCAGAGGGCCGTGGTACGAACTCGGCAGCCCGCCCTGGTTATCACTGCGGGCGCACTGATTGCATCGTAGCAATACTCCGCGCCGTGGGCTTCACGGATGAACGCCACCCTGACGTCGCTCGCGAGAGCAGGCCAAGCGGCCAAAGAAATGAGCAGCATTGACTTAAAGCTTTCGTGACTGCAGGAATTCATATTCTTTGGGTCTTTCGGTAAAGTCACGTAGATGGGTTAAATAAATAAAAAACTACGACGTTTCGATCGCTTGTGTTGCGATCGGAACGTCGTAGTTTTTGTTTTATTATTTTTTTAACCTATCTACGTGACTTTGCCGAAAGACCCAAAGGAAATGATAAACAATTTTAACGCGTAGGCTTTCGTGACCGATGTTATACACATTAAAGGTTTTCGGGCTCGATCGCGTGCTGAGCTAGTGACTTACTGGCACGTTTTGTTTACGCGACCAAGCCCATACTAATTGGCTGTGTCGGGTGGTGGCGGGTTTAACGACACATTTTGTATTTACGCGATCTAACCCACAAAGATTATTTATGGACAAATATAACAATGCACCGCATTGTTATATTAGTATAACAATGCACCGCATTGTTATATTTTAACCGACCGTCTGTGTTGCTTTATATAGTTTCCAAATGTTGCTAAACCCTGTTTGATTTAGTGTGATGTTCCGTCTCTCTGTGTCCCCTGGTATATATCTGTGTTAATTCCCTCTACTTAAGGTCTGTATATATATCTGCGGTTATGTGTTTCCTCTGCCTGATGATGATTGCTTGTGTTGCGATTGAAACGTCGTATGCTATTATATAATTTCATTTTATTTTATTATTTCTATGTGACTTTAGCGAAAAAAACAAAGAGTAATGCACCGCAAATTACGCAATTCGGATTAGACATCGTCCCCCTTAATACAGGTTTTTTTGGGTTAGATCGTGTAAATCAATAAATGTGGCCGTTAAACCCGCCACCACCCTAAACAGCCAATCAGTAAGGTCTGTTGCGTAAACAGAACGTGCCAATTCGTCACTAGTACAGCAACACACCGGTGTGTTGGAGAGCAAATCCGCAACATTTACAATCTGAGTGTACGACGTTTTGCCAGTAATTACAAGCGGCTTCATCAGGCGGCAGCCAGATTTGTTCCCCGCATTAGCTGCCTCGTGTGCCATTGTCACTCGAGGAAATGAGACTCATCCTGAGTCGTCTGTCGCCTGCTTTATTCTCACAACAAAAACAACCGCACCCCGGCAGGCCTCAACCACCGCTAGGTGGCCCCCCACGCATCGGGGTTCGGCAACATTGCCATTCCAGTTGAGCACGTAGGCTTTCGCGACCAATGCCAACCATATAGTTACATGCTAATCTATGTGTAAACTCCTTTGGCAAGGCGCTCTGTTCCTCCCACACAGCTTAAAAGACGCTTCCAAGCTTGGCAGGGTTCACTCAAGCGCTGTCTTCCGGACAGTCCTGTTTCTTCACCTGAGGAAAGCTACTTGTGTTGTGGCCGAAACGTCGTGAGAATTTTATTCTGTTATTATTATTTTTATTATTTTATCTGCATTCTACGTGACTTTACCGAAAGAACCCAGAAGATGGATCCCTGCAGTCACGAAAGCTTTAAATCGAAAATTAAAACATATAAGTAATGTTTAAAAAAACCTTTTTTTTTAAAACACGCTTTACTGAAATGTACCGTACTAGTAATGGAAGAACTCCACGACTCCAGGAAGTGGCCCCAAAGCTTCTTATAACGAAATGGGCTGTGGTGATTTACAGCCAACGTCAGTTTAGCGTGGACAATTAGACCCAAGCCGAAACATAACATATAAAAAAAGATTGTTTTGAAATATATATGTTTTATTTTTATTGTATGATAGAATATAGTATTGTCATCAGTATTACATAAGTATACTAAGTTCGCAGTCGATACCTCATTGAGAAGTGGGTTAAAATTGAGTTATAAGATTTGAGGATACAACAACAACAGGACAGAGTGATATTCATATTCTTAGCTCTTTCGGTAAAGTCACGTTGAAGGGAAACAATAAAATAATAAAATATATATAAAACAATAAAAATTCTCACGACGTTTCGACCATAACACAAACGGTCGTCATCAGGTGTTTAAATAAAAAAAATAGGACAGAGTGAGTTAAATAAAAGCGCGTAATAAAATGTCGTATTCGGATTGTAAATGTTGTGGCTTGGCTCTCCAACACACCGGTGTGCTGTACTAGTGTACGTGACAACCCTTACTATCTGGCTGAGTCGGGTGGTGGCGGGTTTAACGACACATATTTACGCGATCTAACCCTC